GGATGAATGGTTCCGTTGGTTTGAACGGATATTGTAGGATCAAAAAGAACAATGAGATTTCCGCCAAGAGCTAAGAGTTTTCTATTCATGGCATTCAGCGTTTACCAGCAGTTACACACTAGTGAATATCGAAGTAAGGAATTGAAGAACTCATTCAGTAGTTTTCTCCTTTCGCCAGTCGAAATCCCATGCTTTAGACTAAAAAGAAACAACAAGAGCTCGTTGTAGTGTAATATTACCATCATTGGCTGCAGTGTCTACACTATGCTGAAAACACCAATCGGAATTTCACATCCCACAGTCGTGGGTGGCACTATGAACCTTTGAACTCCCATTTTCTATGTATGAGTTTCTGTCAACGGTTGTTTCTAGCCTTGGACTCGAGAAACTATATGTGTGGAATTTTCAGCGCCTAAATCACTCTTTTACTGCAACTGCTGAAAATTAAGGGGTTCTCCCCCTTGGTTCCCTATGGAGCGCGATCGTGTGCCTTCGATATTTCCATTCCGCCAACGAATTAGATATTACACCAGGACAATCGCTATTGTCCTGAACAACTGCTCATCACGTCGAAGAAGGCAGCTGGAAAGTGCACATACTCCCTTTGGGTCAGAGGTCATGGTGTCTTATTCCCGACATCGTAGTCTAGAATAATTCAAAGAGCAGATCATGTTCACTACAATAGTTCAAAGTGATAGACTCAGCATGCCGTTCATTAATTACCCTTCGCATATCACAAGGGGTTTGCAGTTGACCAGTAAAGAAGAGCTTCAGCAGCTAAAGCAATTCAACAGGGTGAGTACGAACAATGGCATTATGCTTGTTTGCAATTTGCTATCAGAATGAAGGAACTCTTCTAACAATAAGATATTCCATCGTCGAACTGAACTTGCATTGAGTAACAAATCATATGTAGAAAAGTATGTTCTCCTACTTTTGGCAATTTTCCAGATTTTTCTTCACCAACACACCTACTGGTGATTGAGACTTTATTTTTGTATCGGAGCAACTGAATTATGTGATCATGAAATATGGTTCCAGGAGAGGATGAAACAAAAGGACTTCAACATAAACCATGAGACCTGCAAACAAGGAAGTGAGTTAAAAGTTTTTCTATCTAACAATGCTAGGTGAATGGTAGACCGAATTTGATGATACAGAAGTGATTATTAGAGATCAAACCGAAACAGTTCTGATTGTGGAGAGGTTGAGATTGATACAACTTCATAATCTGACCAGACACGACGAGCAATTCCAAAAAGTGGAGAAAAATTCCTAGTCCGCGCTTCGCGCTTGGTTTTTTTCTGCTTTTTCTGAAGACCAAGGATCAAATCTGCCGCATGAGTGCCCTTGGTGAAAGTTTCGTTGCAGTTTGTTACTACGGGCACGTGGTCGACTATCACCGTCTATGTCGCTCCTCCAGCTTCCGCGGTGTCTCGTCCACCCTCTTTTCACCAACTTCTCCCCTTCGTTTGTTCCTGATCGAGATATCTCTTCTCCCAAATGTCGCTCCACCCATTATTTCACGTGTCCCTCGTTTCTTGTTGGCGTTTCTTTTCCTTACGAGCTCACCGTTTTTCTAAGCACTCTATTGGTCTTATATTTTTTGTCACTTCATTTGGTTTTTTTACTGTTTACTTTGTTTTTAGGAACTTGAGGTGAAACGATGCTCTCCCGAGTGGCAAGGCTCCCGGTACGTCAATACTGTTTATTTAGCTCATTGAACTTTCTTCCATATCGATTAGAACTCGGAATTATTGTACCGTCACGAGAAGGTTTAGACTGAATCGTATGCTGAATAGAACTCTCATTCGAATTACTGGGCAACATTAGTTTCGAAAGTTACCATAAATAGGCCATAACATGATTATTACAACATTTTTTTACTCTTATCATTTCCACTTTTCGATTTTCGCAATCACGGGATTTTCAGAGCTTTGTCAGGTCCAAGGGAATCGACGTGAATGCGTAGGGTTGGTCACCGAAGGTATAGTACAAGTCAAAATCAAATAAGAGCTTTTTCAATCACTCTACAATTCCATAGATAGCGACGTTTTTAGAAGGTTGAAGTTCGAGTGGTTGCAGGGGTTTATCAGAGTGAATGGTGTCGTTGAATAAGGTCTCTTTTGATCCTATTGTAAGAAAGGTGGGTATGACTCTAGCTGATTCTCATCACCACCATAGTCTCAGGCAAAGAACATTTCCTTTTACATTCTTAGGTGTTTCTCACCTTTTTGATCGAGTTTTTTCCCCATTTTTGTCGCAGAACGTTTCAATGCTACCGTGACCATGGGTGCGATGCTATAGAATGTGCCACCAAGGGTGATAAAAGTTTGATAACATCGTCCGGAGTAATCAATCTCCAGAGGTCGTGATAACCATTCTACTTTGAAACACGACTGTAAAAATTCCTGATTGTTTTGTACTGTATATGGCTGCAAATGGCATACAAAGGCGAATAGGAGTTTTTACCATCGTAGGCAGTATTGGCATCACCCACATAAAGATAGAGGGCTTGATAACTGTGAAAAGAGTAGGTCATGTAAGTGGGCCATCTAACAGCTGTATTTGCCTTCGTATATCGTAAATATATCGATGTACTGAATGAATCGGAAGCTCATCCAGAGGTCATAGGTTATGTTCCACCTCTAAAGATCGGCGCAACTAGCTCTAAGTGAATTCTGGCTCAGGCTGTGGTCTGGAATCGTTTGTTTATTATATTGCTAGCTCAATAAACAGAGAAGAACTCTCCCTTCAAACGTAATAGTGTTCCCAAGTCAGAACTGTCCCAGAATGGTTTTCAAAACTTCACTCTTGGGGACTTTGATGGTCTGAAACTACCTAGCTGATCTCATAGTGTTTGAATATTCAGTCGAATATTTTTCGGTCCGGGGTTTAAAAGCAATTATTTACGAGTGTATTAAGTATCGTGTTTCCTCTTAGGACTCATGAAATTCCCTGAAAAGAAATGTAAATACGCAAGATGCGCAAGATGCTCGAAATCAAAGATTTCTCGTAGTGGAAACAGCACGGTTGAGGGATCACGAGAGGCTCGCTACTATACAGCCATCTGTGTATCCACCTTGTGAACGTCCAAAAAAGCGCAAAAAGCCTCAACCACTTCGATGGTGCCTAGAGTGCCTTCAACAGATTTGAAAGCCAAGCTCATGAAGTTTATTGGAAAGCTTTTGTCTTTTGTCTTCAACAAACAGCTATAAAGCCGTGAAATTTTTCGCTACCCTCCGTGCAATTTGTGAGTGGGACACCGCCCAGAAAAAAAACATCCGATTCGCTTTATGTCTGTTAACTGATAAGACTTGACGGGGGTAAAAAATTTGCACTCGACAAAAAAGCGTGACTACTGTGAAGACCAAATTCAGTTTTGATAAAACGATTACAGACGTGCATAAAATTTTATGCATTGTACACGTTGGAGGTAGCTGTCCCGGAGGGATAGAATGATCTGTCCGGAATTCGGTCCTGTCACCATGCGTGTGTGATAGTGTGCCATTTTTCACTTCGCCACATCCGCCCGA